ATACCTCCAAACGCTCGCCTGGAGGTGTCGCGTCGCTGGCCAGCGCGGTCAACGGCCCGGCCAGCGGAGGTATGTCGCGCTGTGCGACCCAGAGGCGGCTGGAGCAGGAGAGAGCGGCCCAGCATGCCGTAGAGTCGCTGAGGGAGAGCGTGCAGGAGCACCACAAAATGCGAGCCAGGGGCAATTGGGAGTGCAGCGGGCGAGCGGCAATGGCGTCGGCGGCGCGGGAGGAGGGGGCCCGCGCCCAGGCGGCCGCCCAGGCCGAGGCAGTGCAGCGCCAGACGGCAGCAGAGGAGCAGCGGCGCCAGGAGGCGGAGCGCGAGGCACAGGCGGCGGCAGCGGTGGTCACGACGGCCCAGCGCCGTGCCGCGCTGGCGGAGCAGGCTCGCGAGCTGGCGGCGCGCCGAGAAGCAGAGCGTGCTGCGGTCGCAGAGGAGAAGCTGGCGCAGCAGTTCGCCTCCTCCTGCGACCTGCTGCGCACCCTGCAGTCGAAGCGTGTGGGCCAGGCGACAGCGGCCGAGTGGCAGCAGCAGATGGGGGCCAAGCAGGCCGCACGAGCCGCAGAGCAGCAGGCCGAGCTGCAGGGGCAGCGCCAGTTCGAGCAGTACATGCAGCGCTGGGAGGACCGGTACCAGCAGGTGGGTGCAGGGGTGCATTGTGTGGGCGCCAGGTTTGGCACAGCCTGCGCATCCGTGTGGCGGACGCGTGCTGTGCATGCTGCTGCAGCCAAGCCCCAGACCGCAAGGGACCCTGGCACATTGCCGCCTCACCCTGCTGTCACCACTCCTCCACTTGCAGGATGTGCGTCACAAGCGCGAGATGCAGGCGCAGCTGGGCAGCCTGCTGGAGCAGCAGCTGGAGCTGAAGGAGGAGGTGGAGGCGGAGGAGGCGGCCACTCGGCGGCGGGAGGAGGAGCACATCAAGGTGGCCTGGCATCAGGCGCAGGCCGCTGCGGCTGCGGCGGCCCAGGAGGACAGGGCCCGCAGGCAGCAGGCGGCTGAGGCCACGCTGGCGGCCAACAGGTGCGCCGAGGGAGGCTGGCGGGCTTCGGTGGAGGTGCCT